GAAGATCCTTTTCCAGGAGCTCTGTGCCTACATGGGCCTCCCCAGACTCAACCAGAGGCTCAAAGACCAGTACGAACACACGCTCACACCTGATGATAGCAGAGTGCGTCCTGCTGGTCGTGAAGAATAAAACAAACAAAACAAAATTGTGTTAATGTTTAACGTCTTGTGCGTTCCAGGACTCTGCAGCCGTTCTTTGAAGGTCTGTTCCCTCGTGATAATCCCAGAAACACTCGCTTCGCCATTAACTTCTTCACCTCCATCGGACTCGGAGGACTGACGTAAGAGACGCAAACACACAGGATATACACGACGTTGTAGTTTTAATATTTGATTCCATGTGCATACGTCAGGTTTCTGAACCCGGTTGCTGTTTTGTGTCTCAGTTTATATTTGCATAAACGTCTCCCTCTCTCTCTCTCTCTCTCTCAGGGACGAGTTGAGGGAACATCTGAAAAACGCTCCAAAGATGATCATGACGCAGAAACAGGAAGTGGAATCCTCGGACTCCTCCTCGTCCTCTTCATCCTCCTCGTCCTCGTCTGACTCCTCCTCCTCAGACTCCTCCAGCGACTCAGATTCCGACTCCTCCTCCAGCAGCAGCAGCAGCTCAGGTAGGTCTGGATTTATTTTCTGGATTTCATTGTGTCCTGGTGTGCACTTAGGAATTCTGGGTAATAAAATCCTGTGCTCATCCAAAATGTCTTGGTTCAACATGGGAAAAAGTTCTGAAAGTAGATTTTATAAGTTTGTTGGCATGACGATGAATTAAACTGCTTTCTGAGTGAAGTTGAAATGCTTCTAAATTAATTCTGCTGAAACCCTGTTTAACCAAAAATGGACAGAAAAGAGAGAGAGAGTGACGGGTTAACAGACGAGTGATTATTTATTCCTCTTCCTCTCCAGACTCAGACGCCAAACACAGCAAGAAGAAGAAGAAGAGAAACGAACAAAGTGAGCAGAAGAAAAAGAAAGAGAAGGGCAAGAAGAAAAAGAAGGACAAAAGCTCTGACAAGAAGCAAAGCAGACACAAGAACACTGAGGATGACAGTAACGACGAGAAGCAGGCGAGGAAGCACGGGAGAGGCCGTGCACGTGAGGTGGAGGAGCGCGAGCGTGCACACGAGGGCACCCACCAGAGCAGACGAGACGAGAGACCGGAGGAAGAGGAGCTGCAGCGCAAAGACGAGGACAGGAGGCGGAAAATGGACTCTCAAGGCAGGCAGAGAGATGGAGAGAGGGAGCGAGAGGGAGACAGAGGGAGGGATAGGGATAGAGAGCGAGCGAGGGAGCGAGAGCCAGAGGAGAAGAGGGAGAGGGAGCGAGAGAGGAATAAAGAGAACAGGGACAAGAACAGAGAGAGAGAGGAGAGGAGGAGGAGATAGAACTCTTCATCCCTCCATCCTGAAGCCGCAGTGATGGACTGATGACTGACAGACAAGTGAATCTTTTCCCTCAGTCATCCCTCTCTCCTTCAACCCGTCCTGTCACTCTGTTGTTCTGGTTTCGGGACCCATCTTTCTCCCTCTCTCTCTCTCCTTCTCTCTCTCTCACTCTTTCTCTCCATCTTTCTGTCCGTCTGTATTTTCTATTGTTAATTTTTGTTGTTGATGAAATAAGAAAAAGAAAAAAAAACACTATTAAAGTTGCTTTAGATGTTTTTTAATCTGTTTCCAGATCTCTGACCTCGGTTTGTTTTTCTCTGGAGTCGTAGGAAGTCCTGTTGGTTCTTTTTTTTTTATCCCCAGAAGTGGAAAAATATTTTTGGTGAATATGGTAAAAGCAGGCAGAGTTTATATTTATATTCTGGTGAGAAATGATTCACACAGAATCACCTCTGCCTCCTCCTTCTCTACTTATAGCTGCTGCTGCTGCTTCTGTCGCTTCTCTTCACTCCAGTTAAATAGAACCACTGTTGTTTTACTGATATTAATAATGAGCTGCTAATGATTATTATCGGTTAATCTGCTGATTATCTTCTTGATTGATCAGTGAATAGTTTGTCCAGTGAAACAACAGAGAACAGTAAAAAAATAACCAAAACCCTAAAACTTGATTCATTCAACCTTTATTTTAACTACATCGAGGTAGAGACATCATTTATATATTATAGCAACGTATAGAAAAAACAAAAAAAAACACAATTTGCCCAATAGCAAACACGAGTAAAAGTAAGAAGTTTTAGGAATATATGCGACACACAATTTAAAGCAAATGAATCAACTGAAACAACCACTGGAGGTAAATTAAGGTGAGATTAATGTATATTTTAATATAGACCATATTAAAGGAAGAAAACTTTAATAAATACTAAACAAATACTTTAATGACTAATCAAAATAGTACCACTGATACTTCTACTGATCTGAACAACACACCAGCGATAATGATACTGATTAAAATGTGATTCATGGGTTTGAAATATCTTGACTTCTTGTTATATAGTTTTCTGTCGTGGTCCAGATCTTCATGTTTCCCTCAGGATTGATTTGTAAAAACATAATTTTGTGGTGACATTGGGCTCTTGAACAGACGGAAGCAGCTGTTTCAAATGTCCTTGAGATGATCTCACACACACACACACACACACACACACTTACACTTGTTTCAGCTCACGAAGCTTCAGTAGCAGAACCTTTATTTTAATGCAGATGTGAGTTCAGAAGTAAAAAATAAAACCAACAGAACCAGTGATGGAAGAACTCAGGTTCTTAACTTTATTAAGATGAGTTAAAACAGCCCCAAACTTATTTCTGACTAATTAAACCTTTAAAACTGCTTCATTATCTTGTTACTTACTTCCATGTACTGTGTTACTTTCCTCCCTGCTGCGTACCACAGGTATTTATTTATCCATGTGTGTTGTCTTTGTCTCCTCAGTTTCAGGTTTTATCACGTTGGGCTGAAAAACGCAGGTTGTCTTTTTGTTGACAGTAAACGTCTCCTGTGATGGTGTCGTCTCAGAATCCGCTGACGTGTGCACGTCACTGACGTCTCCAGTGTCTGAGCTTTCTCACCTGCTGGTTTTCTCCACGTGCTCCTGTGATCAGTGAGGTGGAGGTCGGACAAAATTATTTTATTGAGCTCCTTCTGTTCCTGATGAAACTGTCGCTTCCTCCACCAAGGCCCAACTGTCCCGTTAAATTCTGCATCAAGTCCGTCACGTTAGAAATATAGAAACTGTTGATTTCAGCTACACTTTGGTAATTACAGGTTTGTTATCGTATTTTACTTTTGATAATTTAAATTTAGAGAAGACAGATTTAGACAGAGCCAAGTTGTTTACAGTCTTTATGCTAAGCTAAGCTAATTGACCTTGGCTGCAGAGAGGAAGACTGCTCAACTTTATTATATGATCACATCTTATTTATCAGATTCATCAGATCTGTCGCTGTTTGTGCAGCTCTGTGCACTAGTTAATCCCCACATGTATATATACATCATGTAAATGATTATACATAAAGTCAATGTATTTTTAATTTTGGTTCATATCCATCCATCATCCACTCTTCCTTCCTTCCTTCCTTCCACCAGAAAGTGTGCACCAAACTTGGTTATTTATGTTTGTCCTGGTTATTCCTGTCTTCACACACACACACACACACACTCTCTCGCTCTCGCTCTCTCGCTGCTGTATCCTTGTACAACCTTGATATGATGTTCAAGGTGAGCGGGGGAGATGCCTGCGCGCGTGTGTGTGTGTGTGTGTGAGTGCACGTTACGAGCATGTGTGAGAGTAAGTGGGTCGCTGCAGTGCTCGACCGTGATTGGTCGGACGTCCTGAGGAGCAAAGGAGTCAGACTGGTTTGCTGCGGCAGCAAATGGAGGAACAGACCCATTGGGACCTGGGAGCTGCAAGGAACTCTGGGAAACCACAGCAAGGCCCAAATAGAGGAGGGGGGTGAGGGTGTGTGCAGTGAGTAAAATGGTCAAATCTGACACGAGGGGCCGTGCGGCGCCATCGATAGCGGATACACACCAGTGTACCGGTTTCTTTTAGTTGCTAAGTTTCGTTTTTGTCTTACTTTAGGTCGTGAATATTTCCAGTGGTATAAAGAAGAGCTTCAGTTATGAGCTGCAGCGAGATGAATGTACAGAATATGAAAGTGTCAGACAAAGAGAAATGTTGTAGGAAGCGATTAACAACAATTCATCTGGACGTACAGAGTTGTGTTTGTGTCCCGACCTTCACTGTGTTTTAGTTCCACTTTGGTCTCCACCTGCTCCGCTGTGTTCGCCTGCAGGTCGTGCACAGATGTGATCCATCGTCAATATAAAAATAATGTTTTGATAAATCATTTCTGATTTGTTAAGGCCGGTGATATTCTGTATTTGTTTTGTTGTCAGTGAATTCTGGATGACTGCACCGGTGCATTTGTTTGGGACTATTTTCAGTTTGCAGATTAATCTTTATTTGGTGCATTAATAAGAGCAGGACAGTGTTTGTGGGATTGGATCAAAGTAAGTGTGTGTGTGTGTGTGTGTGTGTATGTGTGTGTGTGTGTGTGTGTGTGTTCATGAATGTGTGTGGACAATGATGGAGCTGAGAGGAATAAGAAGATATATCAAACTTTGGCTGCAGAGAAAATGCTTGTTAGGTTCAGATTGTCGTTGGTTTGAGTCTCTGTTTTTCTCGATGATAAGAAAAATGAAAAGTATCACCAGACTCAGTCCCGAGAGTTTTCAGGTTTGTTAGAGAGAGAGAGAGAGAGAGAGAGAGTTTCTTTCAGAGCAGCAGTGTGAAATGTCTCAGCTCTCTGTCATGATGTTACCCTCCACCTGTCTGTCTCTCTGTCTGTCTCTTTCTTTCTTTCTGTCTCTCTGTCTGTCTCTTTCTTTCTTTCTTTCTGTCTCAACTCTTTGACTTATACATAAAAATATGCCTGAATACTTTGAAATCACATTAGATCCATAATTATCCCTGAAACCTTGTTTTCATCACAGCAGCTAGTCGGAGCTGAAACCTGATGGTACACAACAATGTGAAAAACACAAAATGACCAAAAACAACCCGATGTCTGCGGCTCTTGCTCTTGTACAGGAGGTGTGGGGGTCGTTCGTGTCTGAGTCTCATCACAAAGCGTCCTCGTCTCTGGAGCTGAACCTGATCCACAGCTCGTCAGTGCAGAACTCAAGGAAACTGTGAAATGGTCCTTTAACCTGACACCTGCTCACAGCTCGGACAGGTGAGTTTACAGTAAATACAGAGAGAGGCAGAACACACACACACACACACACACACACACACAGTCAGGCTGTTCAGTGTGTGTGTTGCAGCCAGCATTTACAGTTTTAAATAGATTTTTATAGTTTTTTTTGCCAACAAAAAACCTGGAAATGAATTAACCAGAGCCTGCTGCTCACACACACACACACACACACAAACACACACACACACACACACACACACACACACACACATATCCATCCAACTGTGATTCTTTTATTTTTATTGGAAGTAATCCAAGCCTCTCTCTCTCTCTTTCTCTCTCTCTCTCTCTCTCTCTCTCTCTC